ATAGGATGAAATCTTAAAGTAGTTTTCATTTGCATTTCCATAACTAGTAAGGGTGTTGAGCAATTTCAAAGGTGTTTCTTAGCCTTTTATGTGTCTTCATTTGAGAACTCTCTGTTCAGGTACTTGGCCCATTTTTTAAAATTGGGTGCTATATTTTCTTGTTTATTTTTTGAGTTCTTTGTATATTTTCGACAATGATCCTCTTTCAGATGTGTAGCAGGTGAAGATTTTTTTCCACTCAGTGGGTTTCACCTTCACTTTCTTAGTTGTTTCTTTCGTGGCAGAGAAGAATTTTAGCTTCATGAGGTCCCACTTTTCCATTGCTGACCTTAATTTCCTGAGCAAATGATGTCCAATTTAAAAAGTCCTTTCCTACACATGTATCTTCTAGGATACTGCCTATCTTTTATTCTAGTAGTTTCAGAGTTTCAGGTTCCAAATTGAGGTCTTTGACCATTTGGAGTTCACAGGGTGAAAGATGAGGGTTAAACTTCATTGCTCTACTGATGGAGATTCAGTTTGCCAGCACCATTTGTTGAAGAGGCCGTCTTTCCTCCCAGTGTGTGTTCTTGGCTCCTCTGTCAAATATCAGGTGGTTGAAATTGCATGTGCTCATATTTGGGTCTTCTATTATGTTCCATTGATCTGTGTGTCTGTTGTTGTTTTATGACTGTAGTTCTGCAGTATATTTTGAGATCTGATGTGGTGATCTCCCCAGCATTACTCTTTTTGCTCAGTTGCATTGGATATCTGGGGTCTTTCGTGATTCCATAGGAATTTTGGGATTTTTTTTCTAGTTCTTTGAACAATGTCATGGGGATTTGGTTGGCATTGCTTTGAATCTATAGATTGCTTTCTGTGGGATGATCATTTTCACAACATTAATTACACCAGTTCATGAGCACGGAACGTCCTTCTGTTTCCTGGTGTCTTCTTCTATCTCTTTCTTCAAAGATTTGAATTTTTTATTTTAGAGATCTTTAATGTCCTTGATTACGTTTATTCCTAGATATATTTTTGAGGCTATTATGAATGGGAGGATACACCACTCATCAAAGAAACCTCTTTTACAGAGTTCTACAACTGGTCTAACATGGAGAATATATTTCTGAGAGATGCTAAGCCCTAAGTGACACATCTACAGTGGAACCTGTACACCTTAGGCTCATGGAACATAGTAGAAGAGAGTGTAGAGAGAACATTAATACACCCCTAAACTCTTACCAGTGATGCTTCTTCATGCAACAGAGTGCACAGAAGGCCACAACTGGCCAAGGTAGACAGAATAGGAATGGTTGGGTTCATGCCCCTGGATGAACCCCTGTTTTAAACCTCACCCATCCATTGCTCAGGGAACACTGCAGAAGAAGAGGTGGAAAGAGCCAGGACTAGTTCATGAACATAAGCAAACAGGCTTTCAGGCCTCTGAGAACTTGTGCATATGAACTTATAGCAATGGTGCCAGCATGCACAGGACCCATGTTGACTCACTCCAGCAAATTCCAAGCATAGAGCTGTGGAAACTGTCAGCAGGTCCCCACCTTAGCCAAAGGAACTATTAACAATTGATTACTACTGACTGAGTGAGAGTTGATACTTCTTTAAGGAAGTAACTCTAGATAGGCTGACTAGACTCTAGTGGATGAACTTGTATCAAGGGACTTCTGGGTACCAAAGCTTAACATACTTGAAATCTGTCGGGCGGTTATGGGGAGTGCAGTTTGGGGAGGGGATCTAAATATGATTACCATGTATTGTATGAAATGTGCAAAAATGCAATAAAATATACATGAAAATAAAAAGATAAGTATTTGGTTTCATCTTGATTTAATTTTGGTGGGTCATATTCATCTAGAAATATCCACTTCTGTAATTTTCTGATTTAACAGAATATACACTTTTAAGGTATGTATTCATGATTTTCTGAATTTTATTGGCACCTTTGTAAAGTCTCTCCTTAATCTCTAATTTTATTAACTTGTGTCCTTTGCTTCTTGTTTTTAGTTATTTTGGCCAAGGATTTCTCAATCTCATTTAGTTTTCAAAGAACAAACTCTGGTTTCACTGATTCTGTGTCAATTTCATTTCTATTTCATTAATTTCTGCTCTGATATCATTTCTCTCCATCTACTGATTTGAGTTTTTTTTTTTTGTTTGTTTTACCAGTGCCTCAAGTTGTATCATTAAGTTATTTGTTTGAGACCTTTCTGAATTATTGAAGTATAGGCACTTAGATCTATAAGCTTCCTTACTGCTTTCATTTTATCCTGTAGGTTTTAGTATGTTATGGTGCTTTTATGACGATGGCTCTGTAATATAGATGGAGGTCTGGTATGGCAACCCACCCCTCTGTCCCACCACTATTGCTTTGGTTATTTGGGGTCTTTTTGTCTTTCCATATGAGTTTTAAGATGGATTTTTCTGCTTCTGTGAAGAAGGTCACGGGAATTTTGACTGGGATTGCACTGAATGTGTAAGTGGCTTGTGGTAGGAATGTCATTTTCACAATATTGATTCTTGCCATCCATGAGCATGGGAGGCCATTCTGTCTCTTGTGTCTTTTTTAATCTCTTTCTTCATTGAGTTGGGGTTTTCATTGAATAGTCTTTCCTTAGATTCATCCCTAGATATTTTATTTTTAAGGTTATTCTGGATGTGTTTCCCTGAACACTTTCTCTGTTTGCTTGTTATTTTTGTATAAGGATATTGATTTTTGTAGTTTAATTTTGTAACCTACTGTTTTGCTGAAAGTTTTGATCATTTCTAGATGCTTTCTGATGGAATTTTATGGGTCTTATGTATAATATCATGTAATATGCAAATAATAATTTGACTTCTTCTTTTCCAATTAGTACTCTGACCTTCTTTTGTCTCATTCTTTTAGCTAGAGTTTAAACCACTATACTGAAAAGGAGTGGAGATAGAGGAAAGTCTTTTGTGGTTCCCGATTTTATGGAAATGCTTCAGGTTTTCTCTATCTAGAATGATGTTGAGTGTGGGTTTGTTTATGTTGAGGTATATGCTATCCAGTCCAATTCCCTCTAGAACTTTTATCATGAATGCAGGTTGGATATTGTCAAAGGTCTTTTCTATGTCTGTTTCAATTATCATATGAGTTTCTTCTTGAAGTCCATTTGTATGATTTGTTGTGTTTATTGATTTACTTATATCGAGCCATTCCTGCAATTGTGGAATAAAGCCTATTTGATGATGTGGGTTATCTTTTTGATGTGTGTCTGTGTGCAATTTGTATTTTGTTGAGACTTTTACATCTATTTTCTTTAGGGTTATGGGGATATAGTTTCCTTTTTCATTGTACCTGTTCCTGGTTTTGGTATCCAAGTAATATTGGCATCATAGCATGAGTTTGGGAGTTCTCTGTTTCTGTATTTTTGAATAATTTAAGTAGTATTGGCTGTGGCTCTTCTTTAAAGGTATGGTAAAATTCTGCTGTGAATCCATCTGGGCCTGGGACTTTTATTAAAAGTCAGGAGGCTTTGTGTAACTGTTTCAATTTCCTTATTTGTTACGGGTCTAATTAAACTCTTGGTATCTTCTCACTTTAACTTTGGTGGTTTCAATGAATTTAGAAATTTGACTATTTTAGGTTTTCTAATTTAATAGAGTATAGATTTTCTTTAACGTTTTCTAAATTTTTTATTTATTATTTTATGTGTATGTGCATATTGCCTGCATGTAGGTAAGTGCACCTATGCCGTGAAATGTCCGTGGAGGTCAGAAGAGGCTGTCAGATACTCTGGGACTGGAGTTATGGACAGTTGTTATCTGCCATGTAGGTGCTAGAATTTGAATGTGGGTCTTCTGCAAGAACAACCAGTGTTCTTAACTGCTGAGCCATTGCTCCAGCCCCTAGAGTATAGGTTTTTAAAAGTATTATCTTACAATGCTCTGAATTTTTTTGTTGTCTGTTGTTATAGTACCCTTTTAAACTCAATAATAACTTTAAATGTCAATGGCCTTGACTCCCCAGTCAAAGGACACAGACTAATTGAATGCATTAAGAAACAAAATTCATTGTTTTTTTTTTCTCTACGAGAGACTCATTTTACCTTCAAGGATAGGCACTACCTTAGTGTAAATGGCATTAAGAAACAAGCAGGCATTGCAATTTTAGTATATGGCAAAATAGACTTCAAATCCAAATTAATTAAAAGGGATAGAGTCACTTTATTCTGATCAAGGAAACAATTGATCAAGACATTACAAGCAAGAACATATATGCACCAAAATCTGGTGCACCCAATTTCATTAAAAGAGTATTACAGGAGTTCAGGAAATAGGTTAACCCCAACTTAGTAGTTGTAGATGACTTGAATGCTTATTTTTATAGTTTAATCCTGATTTGAAATTAAGAAATGAGACATAATAAAGATAACAGGTAACACTAAAATGGCAGTTACTAGGCCATATTAGTGATTCTTTATTTTTTTACATGTTTTAATTCAACCATCATAAAATAAAATATTTTTTTTCATTTTTCAGAAGAAAGCAAGTGGGGAGAGATGAAGTTGTGGGAGACAGGCTTGAGCCTAGGGTGAAAGTCTTATTGACAGCCATACAGCAGGCCCGAGGAAACGGCCTGACCGCTGGAGCGACAAGGAACGCCTTGTGACATTTGCTCCTATTGGCAGATCATGAGACTGATGCCTAGAGCTCACCACTCTGTAATCACCACCCTTGGAATTCCAATTTACAACGCTTAGATATTGCAACAGTCAGGGTCATGTGGTTTCCAGGAATCCAGGCTCTGTAATCTGAAACCAGTTATGCTAATGAGGCATCTGGCCCGCTATGCTGTGATAGGATGCTAAGCCTGTTATGCTAATAAGGTATCCTACTCACTGTGCTATGATTGGACCACTACCCCTATATAAGCTTGTGCCTTCCTGCAATAAAGTAGATCTGTGTCACTGAACCTGGTCTCCTGTGTCTTAATGCAGCTCTGCTGACTCAGTCTCCTCACCGGCCCTGGGGTCCAGGACCGGGCAGAAGCAGCAACGATCGTAGGCAGCACAGGGCGAGCAGAAGAGCTGCCTCAGCACCAGGCAAGCAGAGAAGTGACTTTGCCTATGTTGAGATCTCTATTATAAGGTGAGCTCATGAGTGTTAGCCTGTGTATAACTCTAAGGTTGTTCTCCCCAAACAGGGTAAAGTATATATTCTGTAATTAAAGTGGAATAATTCCTAGAGATTACAATAGATGTGATGGCTGACATTTCAATTCACTGTCTTTTCCTTTCCTCAACTGCACCATGGTTTCGAGAGCTTAAGCTTGGGTAATCAACCTTCCTTGCTCTCAATTTGGCTAACTTTTAGACTTTTTAAAAGTACACATACATTTGTTTGGTGGCTGTGTATATGTATTTGTAAGTGTAAGCCACTGATGGTGTGTAGAGGTCAGAGGCCAACTTTTGTGCGAATGCTGTCTTCTTCCATGTGGGTCCTGGGAACTGAACTTGGGTGGCAAGGCTTGGCAGCAAGGACCTTCATCTGCTGATTCATCTTGCTGATTTGGTTTACTGATCTTTGATAGAGACATTCTGTGTACTCTGGTTACATTACTTGGGAAGGGTGTGTGTGTGTGTGTGTGTGTGTGTGTGTGTTTACACTTAGCAAATTCATGGTGGCATACTCCATGGTTTGGATGGTATCCTCTATTTGGAAACTGATTTGTAATTGGTTTCTGCACATTCTGTCCTTCGATTTCTGTATTTCTAGATAACCTTTAGCTTTGGGATGCTTTTGACCTTCTTCAATGACTCATGTTTAAATTCTCTCTCTCTCTCTCTCTCTCTCTCTCTCTCTCTCACACACACACACACACACTTATCTCTGTACTTAGAATAGTCAGTTTCACATTTTATGTTCCCCTAATTGCTATGAATCCTAGAGTAAACGTCTGCTTGGTCTAGTGGCATCACCTTGGGTAAGCTAACCTCTGTTTCATCCCCCATTGGTCTGTGGAGCTCTGGCCAGCTTATGCACTCATCAGAACTGAAGGCTGATCTTAGAGGACAGGTATCCACTGTTCATGATGAGTTCGCTATATTTGGAATTCTGTTTCTTGGTTTTGCTGCATCTCTAAAATTGAATGTCAGCTTTTTGATGAAATTAGCCACCTTGTCACAGCTGGCTCTGGGGGAAAACCTTACTTTGCTGGGCTAGTTTGGGCTTTGTGTTTGGGTTGAGAATTTTCGCATCTGATTTTTCAGCCCTGTAGAGGCTCTGGGTACAGTTGGGCCTGCTCAGCATGGGAGATGCAGAAGGTTTTCTCCTTGAAACTGACATGATCTTCATAGCTCCCTCTTCTGCTGAGGCTTGAAGGTGTTGTCCTGTTATCCTGAGATGTTCTGAGGATGTCTGCTGGCCCAATTTGGTTTTCTGGTGGGAAAGAGTTCAATAAAGCCTTACAGCGACCTGAGGAATATCTGTGAAATCTTTTTTGCTGGTTCAAATTGCTTGTTTCAGAGTTGGCTATACTTTCTCTTGCTCAGGTGTTAAGGATCTTCCCCAAAGAACTTTTTGATACTGAAGGATCTTCCTTCCAGTATGAAATATTTTAATTCAGAGGAAATTGCCATATAGTATTTATGAGGACACAACATGAAATTCTGCTATTACCCTCTCATTGATTTTTTTCATATTCTTTTTCACTTCCAATTCATTAATTTCTTCCTTAGCCTTGAGATTTTCTACTCATCTATTTATTTGTGTGTGTGTGTGTGTGTGTGTGTGTGTGTGTGTGTGTGTGTGAGGGGGGGGTTGGTTTGTGTTTCATTTTCTAAAGCCTTAAAGTACATGATTAAGTTGTTTCCTTAGTTATGATTTTTCTCAATGAGGGCACTTAGAGTCATAAACTTGCATCTTAGGCCTGCTCTCATTGTATCCCATAGGTTTAAAAAATTTTTTTAATTGAGCTTTTGTAGTTTCATACAACAGTTCTTAATCAAATTTAGATCCCTCTCCCCAATCCATGCCTCTCCCATCGCCCCACTGGACCTCATGTATTTTACCATACATATTACGGTCTATCCATTCAGGCATTTGTACTCAAATGTCCTTCAGTGTAAATTCATCCACTAGAGTCTAGTCAGCCCATCTAGAGGTTGTATGTAAGGCATACTCTCCCTTACCCAGTAGCAGTCAGTCTCCAATAGTTCTTGGTCTACTGCCAGCCTGCCATCCATTTCTCTCCTCCCCTTTGGGCCCTTGTTTAATTGAGTTGGCATGGGACCTGTGCTTGATGCCACCATTGCCACAAGTTCACATGTACAACTTTCCAGTGGTCTGAAAGCCTTGGCCTCCCTGTGTTTATGAACCAGCCCTGGCTCTTACAATCTTTCTGCCCTCTCTTCCACAATGGTCCCCGAGCCATGCATGGATGAGGTTCCATATAGTAGTCCTATCCCACACTCTGTAGTCTCTTATTCTTTAAAACTTGGCCAGTTGTAACCTTCTGTGTGCATTGAACTCTGTTGTATAAAGAAGTTTTACTGGTGAAAATTGAGGAATGCATTATCTTTCTCTCTACCCCCTGTTCTGCTATGTTCCATGAGCCTTAGGTGTTGAGGTTCCAATGTAGATGCTCTCCTGGGCATCTCTCAGATGTATAGCCGCTATGTGTGACCAGCTGTGGAACTCTGCAGTAGCCTCCATCTGTTGCAAAAAGAAGCTTCTTTGATGAGTGGTGTATGGAATACTTATCTGTAAATATAAGGATTGATATTTAGCATATAGTAAGAAATTTCATTTGTCAAGAGACAGTGTTTTCTCCAGGATCTATGTTCTCTCCTGCCATTTGTATTTGGCTGAGTTTACAGTGCCACCCATGAGTTCACTTCCGTTGAGAGGGCTTTAAGTCCAATTAGACAGCTGTTTATTGCCCCACCCACCCCCTAGATCACAGTGCCATTACTGCAGCAATAGAGGTAGTTAGCCATGCCAGTCATTATGGTTATTAGGCTTTAGGTCTGGGTTGGACCATTGATTATTTTTCTCCCTTGGCAGTTTGCATATCATCATCTAGCATTATGATAGCCAAACTTCGGTTAGAAGGCTTCCAGGTCAGTTCCTGCTCCATTGGTTCAAGTCCTGTGTCTTAAGTATGGCCTGTCTTCAGCAGTAGGGTCTTCATCTACTAGGTCTGGGAGATAACCAAGAGGTTTGGCAATAGCCTGTGTTATTTTGGGAGTCTCCTGGACCACACTCACCAACTACTCAAAGGGAGATCTCTCTTTCTGGCACTGTGTTCCTTGCCAAGCAATTCCCAGGTATACATGTGCACTAATGTTCAGACACTGTATGTGAATTTCTCATGGGGTTTCAAGGGCATCACATTTCCCTCTAAGTTTCCTAGCCCTACAAGATTCATTCATCTCCACTCTTTTTATTTCCCATCTGGCCTCTCTCCTCCCTCCCTAGTCCCAGCATCCCCGTCATCTCCACCCTTCCCCCAGTAACACCCACCTCCCACCATCCTCCCTCTCCTGACTTCCTTCCCATACCATGGCTCCTTGCATGTCCCTCCCTCCTCTCTCTGCTGAACACTCCCACTTTCCCCACCTTCCCCCTGGCAACATCTGTTCCCTACTATCTCCCTTTCAGGGTGTTTCTTGTCCTTTACCTCCATGTATCCCTTCCATTTTCCTGGGTCCCAGTGTTACATCAGAATTTACAGACTCACATATAAGGGATTGGTGCTACAATCCACAAATGAGGAAGAACATACATCACTTGCTTTTTTACGTTTGTGTTACTTCACTTAGTATAACACTCTCTAGTTCCATCCATTTACCTGCAAATTTCATAATTTCATCTTTTCCTATTGCTGGGTAGGACACCACCAAAGTTAAACCAAGAAGAGATCAACAGCCTAAACAGACCCAAAACAATAAGAAAATTGAAACAGTAATGCAAAACTTCCTGACTACAAAAAGCCTAGGCTCAGATGGATTCACAGTAGAATTCTACCAGACAGCCAAAGAAGCTGTGGTAAGTTGTGCTTTTATTCCATTCAATTCTAGAAAATTTTATTTTATGTTAGTTATTGTAAGGAGTTTCTGGTCTCAAGAAACAAAACAAAATGAAACAAAAAAAGATAAAAAAGAGAAACATCAGTTTTTTTCTGGGCCTATTGGTGCTCACCTATAATCCAAGAACTTGGTAAAATCATTAGGGTCAGGATTTCAAGGCCATCTACAGGTACAGATTAAATCTGAGGTTAGCCTGGGCTACATTAGACCCTATCTCAAAAAATAGCCAGAAGTTTTCATACCTTAATTAAATACTTTATTACTAATGATGCCAATGCTTACTTGAGTTTTCACTGAGTCTGAATATTCCTTTACAGAAAAGCAGCTGTAACAATGTTGTAGTATTTCCAGCTCATTCTGATTTCCGGTCACTCAAGTTGTCTGTAGGGCTATTTTAAAACATCTGATTGCATGTCAGTGTTTGGAGTGTACTCTAGAGCTGTGACATGGCAGTGTGCCTTTCAAACGGGGCTCCAGGAACAGTATCAAGGATTTTACATGCATCACCCCATGTCCTGATTCCCACTTGAAAATATCTTGCTAGATAAGTATTGCTATTCTGCTTTGTAGCAGAGGAAAACTTAGGTTGAGAGAGAGATTCACTTGCCAGTAGTCCCAAAGCCAGAATTGCTAGAGCTGAAACTGGATTCTAGGTTTGTATGCTGTTTAAAGTCCTTGTTTTTAGTAGCTGCATGGTGTTTGATAAACTCAGAGAAAGTAATCAATTGTACCGGCAGAGATATTTGATTTTCTTTTCAACATGCACTTACCTAAAATAGCTTTGCTAGAAAATATGTTTATCTTGATTTTAAAAGTCCCGTAGTCACTTTTCCTTCTTTTCATCTTCTGGATAGTCTTAGTGGAGGGAGAGAGATCAGAAGCCCCATTTGCCACTGTTTCCACTGTCCAATCGAAGAATAACACATTTACTGAATTTAGGCTGTAGAGTTTAGTTGACTACCTTGTAGGAAGGGAGGGCTGGGGTTGTGTACTGGCTGTGCTTTCTTTGCTCCTGATGAAAACACCCAGGAGGAGGTAAGGTTGTTCTGCCCCACCTTCAGGTCCTCAGTTGATTCTCTACTGCCAAGTGGAAGAAGCCAGAAATTACTGAGATCTTAAAATCGTAGAACTGTGGACTCTTTAGGCATTAGAACATCAGCCACAGAAGACTTGCAGAGTGTCCGCTTGAGATGTTTTGCTTGAATGCTTGATATAGGAAGACATATTGAGCCTGATCTGGTACCATCTGTGGAGGTTGAATTTAAGGACCAGGAACAGAGGGTTTCAAGGACTCAGAGAGGAAAGACGATTCATGGTGCCACTGGCAAATGAAACATGTGCTTTTTTACTCTGGGCCAGAGCACACAGGCTGCTAGGTAGGGGTTCGCCCTGTGAGACTGCATGGGTCCTTGACCCCAAGTACTTTTTATAAGATATTGCACAAAGGTGGCTTCATATAAAAACTGGCTATGTAACAGATTACATCACTGTTTACTTTTGAGGATCCCAGACCTCCAGTGTCAGTCATTTTGTGTTGATTCTCAGACCTCATACTGAAATTCGTATCAGCATCATATTGTTTAAACAAAAACAAGCCCTCATGCCCTTGATTCCCTTCAGTCTAATGCTCACAAGGGTACTCTTTGATGTAGAGTCCACAGGAACATTCTAGGGAACAATATATGATCAACAAATGGGTTATATCTGAAAGGCTTGAATGGTCCTTTTTATGGTAGTGGAAATGCTATCCCAGCATTGTTCTAGATCTCCATATGACTGCTGTTTGGGGAATGCCTAGACACACAGGACACTGCCAGCAGATATCCTGTATCTCTTCCCAAGGAAGGCCTGTTATTCATTGGGGTTTACCCCTGCCTTGGTCTTGCTTCCTGCATGCCCAAGTTGTCAGTACAACTATACACTGGTTTCCTCCACCGCTGGCCTTGTAGCCACTGAAAATATGCTAATCCATTAGCTTCATCATTCCGTGGGCTGAGTTGAGGTTTATGATATGCCACACCATAAACCGTCACAGACTTCTGATTTTCTACATGCCAGAAGTCTTCCCACAAGAGATGGTCCAACTCCCAAATTTTCAGGCAATGGGAATCCACACAGTACACCACCCAATTATTGGTGAGCATATGAAGAAGGGATTGCTCATTCCTAACTACCAGTCATTAATTCAGCCCCTTGTCTACCTTGACTGATTCTTATCTCTGTCCAGATAATGTTGGTGGACTGTTTGAACTGCTGCTGATGTCCATGTGTCCTGTGGACCCCTGCGGAATCATCAGTATACCAGATGTCAGAGAGGGGAGTAGTCTATTCTCAACTGGGACTTAGTTCCAAGGCATTCATCTCTTGGAGACCTACATTCAGCATCGCCGTATACTTTGCTGGTCCTAGGATGTCGATCGCCCCCCAAGCCCACCAGGCTTGGGTCTTCAACAAGAAAAGAGTCAAGACAAAGGTCTTGATTTTATTATAAAAAGTTTAATTCTTAGCAGTCAGGTGAGCATCACAGAATGGCATTTTGTTGTGAGGAACACAGATCTTATATAGGAATCAGATTTGGGGTAACCAAGAAATCACCAAGGATATTTTACTAACAGAAAGTAACTACGGACACAGCAGGTTGCTGCATTACCTCACTGACTCTGGTGCCTGAAGACCGTACCGAAAGTAAATTTCTAAGAGTCCTGATTTATCATGGAGGCACAGCCTGTCAGCTCTGACTGCTGAAACAGAGAGCTCAGAAGCTCTTAAAGTGGCACTCTCCTAATTTCCAATGCTTATGTTAAGCATGGCTCCTGACATTTCCCACTTTCTTTTTATATTTTTCAAAAATGAAGTGTATGCCAAGACTGGGATGGAAAGACCGTGCCTATCTTAGGTCATCCTCTACCAGAGCGAAAGCCGTTGGGGGCGGCCGGCGTCCTGCTTTCCTCTGAGATCTTACCCATCACTGGCTAACTGGCCTCTGTAAAGCTCCCGTCAGTTGGCCACGGCCTTGGGGAAGAAATGGGAAATACTGCTTTTGCAAAGTATGTTTGCAAATGTGTGCCACTGAAAGTAGGAAATTTAAATGTTTGAATTAAATGTTTGGTCTATGGTAGGCTTTAGTTTATGGTCCATTAGGTCACTTGTAGGCTTAGGCTGCACAGGCCTAATTCCCCCTTCCAAACGTAAAATAAAAGGACACCAACGTGGAGTTGGGAAAAAGAATGAAACCAACAACCCAAGGGCACAGAGGGAGTACATAAAGGGAGGTGAAACACACAAATGATCACAACAACGGTGCACAAATCATGGGGAAAGGTCAGCACTCAAGGAGGGTATTGATGCATCATAGCCGAAGTCCAAATAGAGGCATCATAGCCAAAGTCCACATAGAGGCATCATAGCCAAAGTCCAGAGAAGTAGAACGGTGGGCGCCATGCGGTCAAAAAAGTCCACAGGAAGCAGGTTCAGGCAAAGAAGAAGAGCAGGTTGGCGATGACAGTCAGTGCAACGCGACAACAAGAATTTGGAGAATCAGCAAACCGAACAAGGCGTTTACGAACGAGCACCATTTAGCATCCTGCGGAAAAAATAGAAACACGCCCTCTTCCCCAAGGGAGGACTGGACCTGGCCATGTCAGAGTTACAATCTTGTAGAAAAAGGATGCCACAACCTATTAGCTGTAGAGCGACTTAGGGCATCCAGGATCAAGAAAGTTAAAACAAAGAGAGCAAGATTTAACAAAGAACCATAATGAATCTTTTGTCAGTGTGAACTGTAGAATGCCATGAGCACAGTCAACAGTGTCCTGACCCTGTGGAGAAAGCTTAAGGAAAGTTTGAAAAGCGGAGGGAAGTAGAACTTGAGTAGGTCGGGGCAGGCATTGTTTAATGTTTAATCGGTAATCATAGCTATGTTTTCTTTTGAAAATGAAGGGAAGAAAAAATAACTTCTGTAGCCCGCTTGTGAGCCTGCCACTGCGGGCAACGAAAAACGCAGCGACCTCCCACAAACAGTGTGCAAAGAACAATCACCAAGGTAATCAAAGAAAATCCAGAGCTATGTACAATACTCTAAACCATCCACGAGGATCAAGACCAGAGAGAGTATTTGCTAAAGAAGTCGCTATTGAATGTTGTATTATTCATTTTGTCTTGAATATATATTTTTAACTGTCGTCATTTGTAAAGAGAAGCATTAAACTTATAAGGAGTAAAGTAAACCTGAGTAGAAGTCTAATTACATACGTATTGTACAGTTTTTTGTAATTTTAAAAGCTTATTACCTAACCAATGATATTTGCTCTGTAAAGCCATAATTACATCTTGTAATTGGGCATTAACCTGAGCTGGAAAAAGATCAAATCCTGACACAGCGTCTTGAGTTGCAGCCGCATGCTGCACAATCTGTAGTAATGGAGGCATGAAGGACAAAGGACAAGACGCAAAGGGATTGCCATACCTAAGAAAACAACTACGGCAGTCACTAGCAAAAGTGCAAGACAGGGCACAGCCACATCACGTTGCCACAGCTTCAAGTGGCAACGTCGTGTCCCATGCACAGGAGCACTGACAACCATAATAGTAAACCAGGCATAAAGATAAAGGAGAGGGGAATAAGTAGCAGAAATGTAATTGCAGCAGCGAGCCTAGGAACAGAGTTGCCATGCACCGGAGGAGGACAGAAGTCCAATTGCATGAGAAGAACCTGTAAAAGGAAAATTTAGTTGAGTTTGTGTATGCTTTACCTGAGTATAGGCTGTTTCTGTACAGTTGAGTAAGGAAAAGTGTCTTGTAATTGTAAAGCAGAAACTTAAACAACCTTAAAAGAATCGTCCATCTCATAACCTGAAGGAGAAGAAGGTTGGCTAACATAACTTAACACACTTTTTGACATAAATTTTAGAAAGTCATTTAATTTTTGTGAACGAACTGTTGGACCTCTTTTTTTTTAAGCATATGTTTAAGCACAGAAAGGACAAGCAGAGACCGTTACCTTGTCCCATGTTTTTGGTATAAAAGCCAAAAACCCAGAAGAAGAATATCAATCTAGAAGAAAATGTCCTAAAAGGAAGAGTTAATAAAAGGCAAAAGTTAATTAAGAATTTTTAGTGAAGGTGGAGGTGTCTTCACGTTGACACGTGCATTTCAAGGTCTGAAGACAGACTGGCCTGTAGGCAAAAGAGGCATACCAAGCAGGTGTCCAAGGTAACAATCAACTAACAAGAGAGAGATAGGACTCTCCCCTGTTCCAGGAGACTGCTGAGTCCATGGCACAATAGCCTCAGGATAGGGCACAGCCGCATCACGCTGGGCCACAGCTTCAAGCAACTAAGCCCCAATCCCAAAGACTACCCGCCAAAAAACCCCAGACAGTCTCACTTAGATATTCAGATTCTGTTAAAATTATAGAATGTATCAACTTGTTTAAACAAGAACAGAAAAGAGTCTTAACGTGAACTCTTAAGATTTAGAAACACAGCAAAAACAGAAAGTTGTATAAAAGTGTAAATAGGAACACAATTAAAGGTTTGTTACTGTTTAGTAGGATAGTAAAACATCTTAAAAAGAAATGTTAAGAAAACTTTTGTAAAATGAAATCTACCAACCTGCTATTAGAAAGCCTGGCACAGGCTCCATCATAGACCTACCTGGTACCCCACCCCAAACCTCTCTGGCAGCACGCAACTGCATCATGCTGGGCTGCAGCTTCAAGCAGCTACGTGCCATCCAAGAAAGGCCTAGGGGAAATGCGGGCAACCAGAACTACAATAATATAGAGCAGCAGTGCCAGGAACTTTAGGAAATATAAGATCAGTGGTTTGACAAAACTGTAAAAGCTTATGCTGAGGATAATGATTATCAATAGAACCTGAATAATTAGCTAGGGTAATTCCCCAGGCATCGGAAGTTTGAAAAGACCAATCAACCTGAGATTTGCTGAAAGGAGCTATGATTTTAGCAGGTTCCTGCCCAAAATACTTAGTAGATTCAGACCTGATGAGCTGAATCAAAGTAGATATAGCTTCAAAGTATGGGAGTAAGACTTTAGCAGGGGAGACAGGCAAGTGGATCCATAATAATGGACCACCTTGCCATATAACAGCAGTGGGAGTATGTTTAGTAGCAAAGACGTAAGCCTCCCAAGGCTCATTATAGTTGACATAGCCTAACTGCTGTTCAGCAATAGCAGATTCAACCTTATTCAATGCATCATGTGTTGCTGGAGTAAGTTCCCTTAGTGATGTAGGATCAGAATCTCCTATCAGAATCTGAAATAAAGGGCGTAAATCATGGGCTGTGAGTTTTAGATAAGGTCGTAACCAATTAATGTCTCCCAATAACTTCTGAAAATCATTAAGAGTTTTACAGTCAAGGGCAACATAAATACACACAATAGGTTGTCAAGGTAACATAAAACAAATCCATGGAACAACAAGGTGAAAACAAGTATCCATGGAAACACAAACTCAACATTGAAAGTGGGACAAGCAAGTCGAAGAAAAATTTATGACTGATATCAGTAGCCTAATATTAATTTTAAAAGTGTGTACAATATTTATTGACATCTCGTGCAAAATATTGGAACCAAGAAAGGGGTAAAATAGGTGTAAGAGCCGATCACGAGTGACTCCTGCCACGAATCACCCGTTCATTACTACCTGTAGCTGCAAGCCACCTGTTTAGAGCACTCCTCACAAGCAGCTTCTGCCACCAGTTACTTGTTTAAAGTGCTCAGGACGCCACCTCTCATACCTGAGCCACCGGCCTGTGCTGTCGGGAAAGAACACAGAAAGGCAAAGGAAAGTTTCAAAAACGCCAAGTTAAGTTTATGTCCTGAATGACCACATGTCAACTACTAGAGGAAAGTGCACACAAGCTGTAACATTGTAATTTGTAGCTTTAGTAAAACTATAAAACACCTTATTAGGAAAGGTAAAAGCAAGAGCAACATTAAGAGTGTCATGAAAGAATCCTACAGGCTTAAGAGTAGCTAACAATTTTCAAATATGCATTTGAGGACAATATACTGTATGTTTTATTTTTAATGGAGGTCGAGGATTAGTTATACCTCCATCTACCCAAACCATAGCATTAGTAGTACTGAATTCTTGTTTCATAGGAACAACCTTTTTAAGATTACACTGAGAGAAAATTGATCATAGGAGGAACCTTTACATGTTGAGAGAGCTGGAATGGATGTAGTCTCATACTCTGTCCAATCAGAACCTTTGACTGAGCAGATAAACGTACCACATGCGGATAACTAACATTTCAGCTACTTTCTGGAATAATTTAATGTTGTTGTCTGATAGGATAACAAGGAGGAACTCCAATGCACATAATATCAGAATGTATAAATTGAGTATAATTAAAACTGTTCCTTCTTTATCAGGAAAATCCGGCTGACCTGTTCCATAAGGAGGTGACAAAACATTCATAGGAAAAGTGGAACCACAATAGTAGGCTCCTTCCAAGTATAAGGACGAAGAAGAGGAGGATTAGGTACATGAGCCCAATAAATGTTTTTAGTTTTAACAGCAGAAATCCAAATGGATAGAAGAAATGTGGATAAAACCAGGTTTCTTTTGCATGAGAAATTCATAGTTACAGATGGAAGCAACATCATTTGATCTGGACATAGAGCAAAAAGGCCTGTAAAACCTAAGAGCAAATTGAAAAGTTTAAATTTAAAGTTAGAATAAAGGGCAAGATCTGAACAAAAATAATAAAACCCAATTGTAATATAAGCAATCTCAACATTAAAGTTTTG